TACAAAATATTAATCAGATTCAGAAATTATATTATATATTATTATAATTTATTCATATATTTTATTTTTTAGCATACCACTTACTATATCCTTATTGATCTATTTTATTTTATTTCTTATTTTGCTATTATTATGCTCTTAGATTTTTTTTAAAAATAAATCAGCGAAACTTTTGCGCGAATTAAATTTTTTCGAACTCTAAGCCCGACCGGCCCGGTCAAATTTGCTCGACCCCGGGACCGAATTCTTATTTCTACAAACCAGTCGATCGACCCCGAATAATATAAGTTAAAATGCATTTTTATAAAGTAACATAAAAATGGTTAATTTTACTCTCCTATAATAATCCCATTTGAAATTTGTAATGAATGTCTATTTTAAATTTTCTCCAGCCCGGATACAAGCATTAGCTATATTAAATCGGAATACGAAGGAATCACTTGTCCAAAAATTATGATGGACATCTTTTTGGGTAATTTTTTTTTATTTAAAAAGAAAGTTAAATCTTATAAGAAATAACCAATAATAACATTTACCAGTTTGATTTTATCGATAAATTATAAATATTGTCGCTAAAATTTTCAAGGAAGAAAATTTATACTTTAGGCTGTGTCCTAAAACCCGTTTCAAAATTCGAAAAAATAAAATAATAACTTTCAGATGTTTTTAAATTTTAATCAAATCATATGTTAAAATTTTATACAATTGTGTTTAAGTACAAGTTTTTATATTAAAAATAGCTTATTTCTCTTTTTTTTCGTTAAAGTTACTAAGGTTTGCAAATTATATTTTTTATATTCAGACCACAGCCTTATATTAACATAATTATTGTTCCGAGCCATAGAAGCACTATTTTTTGCACAAAGCAAAACCTAGACACCCAATTTGGAGGCAGTGGTATTATTTTCTTAATGTTAATAGAAAAAGTGGGGGGGGGCATTTTTAATTAAAATACTGACCAACTAAACAAAATAGAGATAAAATGACAGTGCTTACAAATTGAGCCATAGCGATTAGCGGTTGTGTTTTTAAATAAAACGCTTCGTTGTTAGTAATTTAAGCGATAAAATATAAAATACTCCTATACTTATACACTCGAAGAAAGCAACTAAATGCTTCAATTTGTATTTTAGCCAGAAAAATAAGTCTCGAGATTTCGTTAATAGATGTCTAAACCTTTGTGCCATATAACAAAATCTGCATAATATTTTTCTGGACAAAACATTAAGTTAGCCGTTATTAAAAATCGGCTCAAATTGATATATTTAGCAACACTAGTTGCACTACTATTATCCTCAGAGACCTGCAGGCCCGGTTTTAAACCCGGCCCTGTCAGTATTTTAATTTTTTAAATATACCCGAGCCGGGCCTGAAATTTTATTTAAAAAAAAATTCGGGCCGTATATTTTAAAACCAAATATTCGAAATCGCCATTATTAGCTATAAAAATCAAAAATAAATATAATATATTTTAAAAAAAATCCAGGCCGGGTCGTGTAAATAGTACCCCTGCAGGTCTCTGATATAATGATTAAATATTTAAACAAATTATTTATTTTTTTTAAAAAAAAAATTCCTTTAAAATTTAGGCAATTTTAATTATTATCCGGAAATGGGTATAATATAATTTTCATCTTTTTACAAAAAATATGCATGAGCTTAAACCTTACTTTTCTTTCTTTTTTAAAAATTTAAGATTTTAATATTTAGATTAAAATTAAATTAAAAAATTTTTTTTTTATTTTACTCCTACATAATTATCTTTGCTTAATTTTTTTTTCTCTTTTTTAATTATATTTTATTTATATAATGTAATATGACTATGAAGATCTATAAAAAATAATAAAGTTTGTTATATAAAACTTAGTGTAACAGAAAAGATATTAAAATAATGTTATATATCTAACAAAAAAAAATGGAATTTAATAACTATTAAAAATAGCTAAAAGGAAGGAGAGTAAAAGTTAGGTAAAGGGTAACGCGGCTTAATTTACAGGCGTATGCGACAGAAAATTCGCCACGCATTGAGGGTACGAAATAATTTAAATGCTGAGCTGTCTATTCAAAAATGTAATGCTCGGTCACAGTGTTGTCAAACGGCTCTTTTTTAAGGACGCGGCTGAAAGCCGGGAAAAATGGGGCTTGGCAACGAAGCTCTCCAAAAAAAATTAACCCCCCCCCCTCATGGATAAATTTTGGATACGCCATTTGAAAACGGCTAATCCAATATTTTAGTCAAAAAATATTATTCAAGTTTCTTTCGTTCTTTCTTTAAAGATTTAGACATCTATTAACAAAATCCCGAGGTTTGTTTTGAGTAAGGTTTTAATATAAAATTGGTACTCTAACGGACAGATAATATATATTTCGAGTCTGGCCTACCGAGACAAATGAAAGGAAATTCGTTCGGACTGGACTTGAAAAATTAGGCTCGATGAAGAGCACTAAAATAAATAGCCTAATAACAGGTATGTAGATGCGAATAAATTCTTATAAATGTATCTAGTAACGATACAGATACAAATTTTATTTTATCTGAATAATTTAAGAATCCCGATTCATGTAAAAATAGTCGCTCACCGATGAAAAACTCTTCTTCCTTCTTTTTTCTATTCAAAAATTAAAAACGTGTCCAAAATTAAAATTTGTTAAAAATTTTTTTTTTTAATCGTTGGACCCAAATGTAAATGTAATATTTTGAAATAAGTAGAATTTCACTATGCGTGCTTAATATTTTTCAACATTACGGAATTATTGGTTTTGGGCCGGAGAGTAAAATTTGGTTCGCGATGGCAAATTTTTTTTTTACTCTGCTCAGATTCACAATGGTGATCGGTTATATAGTGTTTAATATAGTTGGGGGTAAACGGCTAAATGCCTGCTAATTTTGGTTCAATCTTCAGGCGCCTGCTGGGGAAATTAACATTAAGACGTTTTCATTTATATTAGTTTCTTTCAAATTTGAACTGCTATCTTTTTAAGAAAAACCCCTAGGTCAAGTGATTGTTTTCGGTTAAAAATTTGGTTTAGCCGATTTTTTAGTCCGCTAAAAATATAGTTAATTATCCAACTATAGTGTTTATGTTAAGTGATAATTCCTCAGGCCAAACCTTAATCAAAAAAATATTCCATTATATTAATAATTTATTATTAGTATTTACTATATAAATATAAAAATAATAAATATTAATTGAAATCAATTATTTTAATATTAATATTTATAAAAAAAAGGAGGAAAAAAAAATATATTTCAAAATTAATAAATAATTTATAGGATTGCGGTACAATTTTTTTTTTTGAAATTGTTATGATAATAATTTATAAGCAATCGGACTCAATAATTAATAATGTTTTATATAAATAAGATTGAAACCTCCAAAAGATGACCACTTTAATTTCTGCAATCTACTTAGGTCCGTCTCCACCCTGGCGAATTACTATTTTTTTAAGAATCCTAATAGTTGATTCTATATACACATTGATAACCTCTACTATGTTAGAGCCGCCAGTTTCCTTGGAGGCTTCACTACTGGTTTTTGGATTTATTTTACGGAATTAGATCATAAATCATTATATTTATGATTTTTTCAAGGTTTTTTTTTATTGAATACACTCATAGTCATACATATAATCCAAAAATTATGGATGTATTTAATAAAAAATACGGAAAGAAATGAAGAGAGAGACAAAAAAAATATTTTATTATTTGTCGAAAGAGTTTTTACTAAAGAAATACGAATAACATTTATTTTAACTTTGATTCGAACTACCGCAAAAATTTATTGAGCCCCACCAACCCCAAAATTTATTTTAGGTGGGTTCAGTTAAGTTCCTGGTCTAATATCTAATTTTTAACTCTGGCTTAGAACGGAGTTGATTTGGATTCATGGAAATATGAGTAAATTGTGTCTCTAACTCCCTTACCCTAATTCAAGTGTTTTGAATTTGATTTAGTCGCAACTGCTTGAAAATTTTGCATTATAATGGAATTTGTAGTTTGACGGCTATATGTTATAAATTTATTAAAATCGATGGTTCAAATACCTATTATATTTAAATTTATTTCTTATTTATTTTTTAACCTGAAAATATTATAAAAACTTCGTATTTTTTTAAATTTTTAAAAGTAATAAAAAAAATATAAAATAAAAAGAAAGCATTATCGAAATTTTCTTTTCATTTTTTTTGTCCAATAATAAATATAAATACTCTCGCTTAAAAAATTATTTTCAAAAATTTTAATTTCATAAAAAGCAAAGCACATTAAAAATTTTAATTTAATTTATTTATTTTAAAAAAAAGTGTATTTTTAATGGGGTCTCTTCCCCTCTTGTTGCGAATGATTTTGATTTTAATCTTTTGATATCGTATTTATTTTTAATTTTTAAAAATAAAAATAGGAAAAATTTAGGTTTTACTTTTCCTTCGTCGTTTGTATATACCAGGAATATAAGCCAAAGTTTCTAGAAAGAAGTATATAATTTTTTTTTATTCCTTTTTTTGGGAGGAATTCGCGCCCTCTGGGACCAAACAATAATGCGCGGGATTAAAAAACTATAGCTTACTCATATTGATCCAACAACTAAAGAATCGTCACAAAATTATCGAAATAGATCTTAGACTTGAACATATTCGCAAATTTTTTTTTTTTTAATAGCCAAAGGTCGCGAAAATTAGCGTAAGTGGATCCAAAAAAAACGATTAGCAGCCTTTTTCAATATCGACACATTCGTTATTAAAACTTTTTAAGAGATAAACGAATTACCTCTTCGTGATAAATTCTGGAATCATAAACTTTTATTTGAAACTTTTTTACCAAAAACTAATCGTTTAGCCTAAAATTAATATATATTTTTTTAAATTCTACCTTAACGCAAATCGATATAAGATCTCTAAAAGATATAATCATATTTAATGCGCCTTTTTTGAAATCGAAAGATATTTCCTCGACTTATTTCATCTTTTTCAATGATGATTATTATTAAACCTTATCGATTAAACAATAATTTACCAACGTATCTAAAGTATTAACACTTTTTAACACTTGAATATTCAAAATAAATAATCGCATCGATAGCGTATATATCCATACTAGCCCAGAGGAATTCTGATTGAGGATAAAGAAATTTGTAATAACAACATTACGAGATGCCTAGATCTTCTTCCTGCTATATTCAAATTATAAATGATGATTATTTACCCGCGTTTTTAAAATCCCTATTATAGCGACTCTATTCAATTTTTTTTAATATAAATTTAAAAATATTAAATAAAACATGCTGACTTCCAAGTTTACTCCCGACAATAATATTAATAATAGCGCCATCTACAATTACGATGACGATCCCAGTATTTTCCATCAAGTTCCTGCTCCGCCCCCTCCACCCTCCGCTTTGAATTATCGCTCATTCATGGAGGGTGGTAAAGGGGTCAAGGAGTCTTACAGTATAAACGTCAGTTACGGACCTTCCAAGGGAGCTTTGGACGGAAGATTCGAGAACGAGGACGGGAAACGGGGATTTTGGGAAAGATTGAATGGCAATACCAGACCTGGCGAAATATCAGGAGGTGATAACAAAGATAATCGGGAACTGGTGGAGAGAAAAACCCAGCAGAGAACAACGCAGCAGGTTTTGTATGTTACTTTAAAAAAATTTGCTCAGAAACAAAGGGATTTTTTTATAAAACGATTTGTATTAGGAAGCCTAGAGGTCGGCGATGGCCTACCCGTGGAAATTTTTGAGGGTTGCCCATCACGTGAACAATTTTGCCCGGGCCCGTTTATACTAATTGTCCGACCCTACCCATAATAATTTATTATGAAAGAAGGAGATATAAATTTGCCTAGATACTTAGCTTTAAAAAACTATCATTAGGCCCGCCCCCGAAAATACTTTTGCTCGGTCCGCTCCAACCTCTAGCGCCTCTCTTTTTGTTTACATAGTTTTTGATCTATATGCGATGATTTGAATTACTTCCCTATTTTCTCGAATATTCGAAAATTTTAATTATAGCTCTAGCTGATTTAATTAAAAGTTTATAAAGGTCTTTTTTGTTAAAAAGTGCTTATACTAAATTATTTTAATTTTAGGTGACGAAAGTGACCAAGGTCTACACGACTCGAAAATTTGGAACTCCTCAATTACTGGAAAATTCGGACGCCAATATATTTACCATGGACAAAGATGGAAACATGGTCCCTTCCGGTCACACCGATACTTCCAATTACTTGGAACAGGTAAAGTCTAGCCAAATTATATTTTTTCCTTATAAGACAGCATTAAGCCTAGCGGTTCATACATCTCCATCACTATGTAAATGTTGTTGCGCACTTTAAGAGGTCTAAACTTTGTTTATTAGGAATCCAAAAATTTCCATAAGACCTCAACTCAACCCATCAGATTTACTATGGTCTATATCGGTCCAGATATCCATTATAATTTGATAGTTATCTTAAAGTTAGAACTAAAGCTAGACCACTTGGGGAGGGGGGGGGGGGTCATTTTTTTTATAGGAACAAAAATCTCGTCACATTATGGTGCCCTACCAATGCAAATAGTATTTTCCTCCTTATTTATCTATCTTGTCAAGCTTCCATCTAATCTAATATGATTTAAAACTTTATAATAACATTATCTTATATTTTAATGCCTTAGGAAGCAGAGCCCAATTTTTTATTCGCAATATATTTATACCATATAAACAGATAATTTACGTGGCTCAGCAACTAATTTCTCAATTTTTTTTCGAAAAGCAAATTTTTTTTTCTCGCAAAATACGCTAATTTGGGCTTTGAGAATGCAAATTTTTTTAGAGGAAATTCTATGTAATCAATTGTACTTTTCATTTAAGTTATCAAAATTTTTATAAGAAAATACCTTTCTTGCATCCAATTAATTAGTATCTAAGGCTGAGTTTAAATAGCAAATAAAATATAGTTTCCACCAATTAGAAACTGCGAACTATTCTCAAATTGCAAGTGATTAATCCTTTACCATTTTCTCTAAAAATATTGCGAATTCGCAAAATTTTAAGCCTCGAGATCGGAGGTTCCCTTAAGTTCGAATCTAGGAAATAATCCCCTTTTTTAAGGGTAATCAGTGCAAGCTAAAGGCTAAAAATCGATCTGATCTGATAAAATAAAATAAAATTTATCGATACATATATAGTACTTATATGAATGTGAAATACAATTTTTAAAAAAAATTTGACCAATTATTTAAAAAATATTAATATTTTTATGGGAAGTAGCGTTGTTAAGAAACTAGATTTAGCAAGGTACTTTAACCAGTTACTTTTCAAAAATAACTTAACCCTAATAAAATGGTATAATTCAAAAAAATATGCCTTGTTGAGATGAGGGGGGAGGGGTTGGATGATATTTCAAACAAGGCGCAAACAATGCTTGTCCCCCTCCATAGTTACCACTACTTGATTTGAATTATTTTTTTAAAAAATTTAACTAAATTTTAATTTCTTGAAAAAAATATTTATAAATGTAATGTTTGGTAAATTTTAAGAAATTTAATGTGATATTTGAGTCTTTAATTAAATTTAAACTTTCCATTATCTCGTATATCAATTGATACACGTAAAGTTTATTCTAATTAAAGGTTTAAAATATTTATTAACTTGTTTTTATTTTATTATTTATTTCTAATTGCTAAAAAAATATATTCATAATTCATAACAATTATTTACATTATTCCCATATTATAAATTATTATTATATATGCTATTTAATTATCCCGTTCTTCAAAAAAAAAAGAAAAATATTCTATTTCTTGTACGGAATAGAAATTAGAGATCTGTAAAATTAAGGCCGGCCCGTACTCGAACCCGGCCCGAACGGGATTTAGGCCGGAAAAAAATCGGGTTCGGGCTGAGTCGGGATAAATTTTTTTAAATATATCTAAATTTATCTATTTTATGTTGAATTTTTTATGTAAAATAAAAATATTTGATTTTATCTATAGAAACTAGACCTCATAACATATATTCGTTCATTTTGAGTAATTATAAAAATTAATTTCTATATTTAAATAAATTTGGGCATGGCCGGGCCGGTAAATTTTTTCAAAAAATATTTCGGGCCGGGCCGGCAAAACTTTTTAAAAATTTTGGGTTCGGGCCGGGCCGGGTAAAACTTTTTTATAAAGATTTCAGACCGGGCTTGAAAAATTAGGCCCGATACAGATCACTAATAGTAATAGGCATGGATTTATGGTAATATAACATGATTAGATATTAAACGAACCATATTTTGCTACCGTCTATATAACTTTAACAAGTATTTAGTCTTTATAATGTACAAAATAAAATATGTTACTTTTAATGGCGTGGAAGCTCAGAGATAACTACCTCGTCGACCGAGGAACGCATGTATCGAGCCTAAATCTAGAAAAAAAATATTTCTGAAACTAATCTTTTGGATACTAAGGAAAACAGGATTTAATCAAAAAAATATCATAATTATTTTTAGTTGGGATTGGCTGAATGTTTATAACAAAATTCTCCAAATGAGTCGGTTCATTTGGCTCTAAACAATACTATCCAGAACGGACATTTTACCATCTCTCCATACTTTTTTTTGGAAGAAGAAATGTTGATCAAAACATTGTCAGGAAATGGTATAAATAAACTGCTGCCTCACGCGATAAAATTTTTTTCGATAGCACTTTTAATTGTACGCACGACATCTAATGCTAATATTATTTTGTTTTTAGAGTTTGCAATGCATTTTTCCATAATCCTGACTCCTAAAAATATACTCTATCGAATTGCCTAGTAAGCTTTAAAAGCCCGGATAAAATCATCGTTAACTCCAAAAAAGTTTTTTTTTTGCTCCGATGATTTTATGCAATTAAAAGAGAAATGCCATGAATATAATCGAAATAATTGTTATATTTTTAGCTGGCTTAATAAACGAAATGACTAAACCTGGTTTAGCATCACCTCACCATAGGATTTTTTCTTTCAAAATATAACTCAAGCCTTAAAGAAGGAAATAAATTTATCTCTCGCGTGCGCTCGTAAATCGAACCGAATTACCCGAATTTTTAGCAGTTACCCAAGGTCTTACTCACTTTCCTAAGCCAGTGATGATTTCCTCTTCCCCACTCTTCTCTTACCCCTCTCTCCAAATCAAAATTAGCAAACTTTCATGTTTTTAAAATTATCATCATTACACAAATTCGATAATATAAATTTTTATTAATATCTTTTTTAAATAAGTTAAAATGTCACGTTTCCTCCCCTTACCAAATTTCTATGAATAATACATAAAGTTTTTTTTGTCTCTCTCTGTGTTCGGTTTCGTTTCATAACTTTTGAAAATTCCGAAATGTTTATTGGTTTCTTTACACACAAAAAAAAATATTAGAATGAATCTAAAAATTTTGACTCAAATATTCCTCTGTTTTATCCCCCTTATCTATTTCCTTTCATCTTTATTTTTTTGCAAATTTTAATTTTAATTTTTTTTAAACAAAAATTGAATCCATTTAAAATAAAACCAAAAATCAATTTATTTCTAGTTGAATTTTTATTTTTTTTTATTTTAAATATAAATATTATATTTATTTTTATTATAATTAAATTTTAATTTGCGAAGTGTTATGGTGATGCGATGATAGTATGTTTCTATATAAGAGAGTGAAAAAAAAAATTGAATAAATTTTTTGTTTGTCTACCGGAGTTAAATGAAGTTAATGTTCCCTTCTCTCTATTTTTGAAGAAATAAAATATAAAGGCATTCTTTTATTTTAATTAAAAAGGTGACGCGTTATCCAAAGAATGAGAACAAAATTTTGAAGTTTGCATTTTAAGCGTAATGAGGTAGGGAGAGATCAAAAGAGAGATATTTAATTTATAAGTCAGTGGGGAAGGATTTAAACAGCCTGCTTTTCCCGCAAATTTCCTTTTTAAACCAATTTTGTTTAGTCCTTCCGCCCGTCCAATGTTTGAAAAATAATTTGATTGATTCATTGAAACTTTTTTTATCCCTTCTCGGGGCTGGGTAAATCTCGAATAATTTAACAATCAGACTCGCAATGGTATGATTAAGACCTTTTTCTTTTTTCACAATGGTCCGCTAATGGGTAGAAACCACATACTGCCCTAATTCAGTTTTAGCTAGGCATAATGCCTGCTAGGAGTTTACAACACTATGATGGTATCATTAATTTAATAAACACTAATTGTTATCACAAAATTTTATAAACATCAGCCAACAAATGTATCAACTTCCATGATAACCTGCCCACCCCAAACTTTGGAAGAGAAGATTATAACAGAAATGTATGATTCTTCCTTCGACAGCCCAAGACACGAGGAGATAACTTACAAATATTCTCCCAGGTACCTCTTTCTGCCTAACACTTCCCCCAACGGTGCGAACGACCTTTCATCCCGTCAGACTAACGAACAACACTCTAAACCGTGTTTTATGCCTGGTAAGACCATTAAGAGATTATTTATAATCGAATTGGATGAAAATTGAAAATATTTTATATTTAATGACTTTATTTTATTACCCCAGAATTTAAAATGCTATTGTGAAATTGTTAATATAAGTTGAACATTTCATTTTGTAAACCTAATTACAAAAAATATTTTATAAATTTAATATTCCATATTTTAAAAAAAAGATATGAACGGCTTATATTTAACATCCAACCCAAACCTTTTTCATCTCAATAAAAGAAACATTCATTCACGCCAAGCAGACGATTTGGAACTCACGGCAGACGACGAGTATCCCATATCAGAAGATAATTACAATCCTTCATCCATGCATCATAAAAATCATCAGACTTTTAATAATAATTTTGATAATCGTGATGTAATAACACAGATGTCCGAAGATAATTATAATTATCCTTCATCTCTCCATCTTAAAAATTCTCAAACCAAAGAAGATTTTAATTATTACGAAAATCTTAAAACAGCTGCGCGTTTAGAAGAGGAATACACAAATTCGTCATCGGAAGGTGCTAGTAGCAGACGATACAATCATGGAGGTGGCCATTTTTTGGGAGAGAAACTTTTCCATCATAATCACAGCAATAGCAATATAACAGACGACGAATTTCCTCAGCATAAGTATAAAAAAAATAAGTAGAGATTTAAAGTGTTAAAAGCGGTAAACGTTAATTCTGAAAAATTGTAGGGAATCCGAAATAACATTATTATAAGTTGAAAAAATCTTGTCGAGTTTAGATCTAATAAAAAGTATGGGTGGTTCGTTATCAATCACTTCGGTTTCTGGTTGAGACCAAATTCGACTGGATCTATGACTTCCATTAGCATAATTGTTATAAAGATTGTATGTCGACTCCCCCCTCCCAATCACGGCAAGATGATATTTACCATTTGATAATAATATTCATTAAGTAGATTCATTATATTCTCTTCACACCTAAGAAATGGACCTGGCTTTTTAAAATAAATTGGATAGAGGCTATTAGAGATAAAAATGTAACATAATTATGAATAAAAATTCAGAAGTTTTATTTCATTGATGTAGCATGGAAACTAGAGATCTGCAAAGTTAGGCCCAGCCCGGGGCTGGGGCCTAATTTTATTTAAACTAATCGGTTTCGGGCCGGGCCTAATATTTTTAAAAAATTCGGACCGGGCCGGGTCTGGTCGGGTCGGATTTTGGATTTTTTTTAAAATATATCTAAATTTTATATCAGCCCGGTCCGGTCCCTAACGAAATTTTTTTTATCCCGAAAAGCTCCTGACCAAAAACGAATTTATTAATTTAATTATTTATTTTGATTGTAAAAAAAATATTAGCGCTTATAATAGCATTTTTATCCAATTCTTTTTGAGGCGCTAGATTCTTCCTGCGGGTGATGGGTATATCATGTTAGAGTTAATTGACCTATTGCCAATATATATATATATTATAAACCACCTAAAGGTTAATAAAATTTTTTTAAATTTAATCGGGAATTCTTTTTTTTGGCAAAAATCGGATTCTGCTAAAGCGATGTATTCCAATGTATGTAAAATGCCTTTCCTATAAATTTCAGGAAATTTTGATTATAACATATAAGATTCCAAGAAATCATCCTAATGCTACGATTATATTTGTAGGAATTGACGGAAAAACGAATATTCTGGAAGATATCTTAGAAGAAAACAAAATTAATATTAAACTCATAAAAATAAATAATTTAAATTAGAGTATAATATGCTAATTTTTAAAAACGGCTAGCTCAATATTTTATCTGGAATATTACGCAAGCATGGCGATTTTGCTCATAGATGGCAGGGTTCGAACATCTATAAACTAAATCTCGAGAAATAGTCAACATTTTTTTCTGGCTATAATATTGAGTTAGTCTTTTTAAGAATCGGCTCAAAACAAGCTGATTAGCAACACTAATCAGGGCCATGCAAAGACTTGTCGAGGCCCATAACGAAAATGAATTCGTCGACCCTTTTAAAAAAACCTCCTATTCACCTAAGCTTTAAAAAAGATCACAAATTAGCAGACCTAAGTTTATTCGCGAATAAATAGCTTAGAACAAGGATTAGACAATATTTATGCAGTATATTATTTATAATAGCGAAATATAAATAATTTGTAAGAAAAAAATGAAATGGAGATAATATAATATTAAGCATAATTTATATAATAAATATACTTTTTTTATCAAAAAAAATATTATACTTTCATTGTATAACAAATTTTGGCGGCCCAGAATTTATATAAATACAGAGGTTTCGCTATGTTTTGAAAATGATTTTTTAAAAAAAGGTTAATTTAGCATTTCCTTTTCGTTTTAATAATTAGCAACTTTGTATTCGCCTATTTTAAAAAATAAATATCATTAGGGTAGGGGTGCCCGAAAGATTAGAAGTATATAGCACCTCATCGCCCCGCTCTTCTGACACCACTTTATAAAAATGGGACAAATTTTTTGGTAACTGAGGGATTATTAATATCCAAATATATTTTAAATATTTTTTCTCTAAATTCTCATATAATTTGATATTTAAAATTCAAAGATCTTCAGATTACCAAGACAGTCCTCGCATCATATTCCCAACCCAACCGCCCATCCCTTATTTTCCCCGACACAAATTCAAAAAACAGTCACTCAACTATCCTCATTTATCGGATGCCAATCGCAGCAATCACGTTGATCAAAATGGTGGCTGTGACGATATATACATTACTCGTCTACAAAAGGTGCCCGAAGCCGCTGAAGATTATGGTGCGGATGATAGTCACGGTTTTCCAAAAAATACATTATTTGCGTGATAGAATCCTCTAAAAACACGTTCGGCTCGTGATTCATCAAAATTTTTATTATTTGGAGGGCTGGACAGATTTAAACTTATAATTTTTAAATAGGATTGAATCGGACCATAAAGTTAGACACCCTCCTATACACTCATGAGGTATATGTACTTCAACACTATTTTCGATTTTTTTTTATCAGAGTTATTAAAAGTATCAAAATATAGATACAAAATGTTATATCCTATCTTGTCACATTTTTATAAAAAGTATAGGTATTTATTTTTAGGTACATTTTTATTTTACTTTTTTTTAATGATAATGATATTAGAATTAAATAAACGCGCCAGACAAATTTTATTTAACAACTCTGATATTTATATTTTAAACACATTTTTTAAGAACGTATTTGTATTTATATTCAAATAGCTTTTTGAATTGTATATATATTGTTGAAAATATGCCCAACCCTGTTGGTAAGTAAGCACATATTCCGTCTTTATTTTTATTTGGGGAAAATGCTTTTTTGACAAACTTTTCCTTTTCATAGTATATTGCAAAATAAAAATGAACCAAATTAACTACTTTAGAAAAGTAATATAAAATAAAATAGGACGACCCATCTAACACTTACATCTTCTATCCACCTCATTCTACCCTTAATTTTTTCTCTCTTTTATTCATTTCCTATTCATCTACCTTATCTTCCAATTTTTTAAAAAAGTTTTGCATCGCATTTAAACCGAGAATAATACAATTATCCTTATTAATTAAATTAGAAATGATTCTAAATGATACTTTATGAAGTAAAATCCTCTATGTCAGATTCCCAGCTCACCTGTAACTTTAAATTATAAACGCACGTAGTTTTAATGTATTTATATCCGTCGGATACTTCAATGGCTGCTAGAAATCTGCAAAAATAATTTTTTTTTAAATATATCTAAATTTATCAATTTTATAATGAATTTTTTATGTAAAATAAAAATATTTTATTTTATTTATAGAAACTAGACGCCATATGACATATATTTTTTATTTTGAGTAATTATAATTTTTTAAAAGAATTAATTTCTCGGGCCGGGTTTGAAAAATTAGGCACGATGCAGATCGCTAATACCTACTAACACTGAATTCACAGTTAGCGCGAATTCACGCTAGCCGTGAATGCATGTGTTTTGCCATAGATTATTACAGCTGACTGTCAATTGTGCCATTTTTTAATAAATGTATCTTCAGCCTATAAGATAATATTTTAATATCATTGAGATACCTAATGATATATACATATATCAAGATGATAACGGTAACACAAAATGGCGCGATCCAGAAATGGTCGATATATTGGAATACCTCTCATCCCCCGCCACAGAAATTTCCGTCAAAATACACGCCTCGGCTTATTTACAACATTTATGTTTCAACCACGACGATCACAAAAACATGGCCAGGTATGGTAGAGTATGATATTTCTGTTTAGGCACCTAAGTTTATAGCGGAGAGTTAAGTGAATGTGGTTAACAAAACCTTTGGACTCAAAGGAAACGTAGTGGTTGAGAATAAAAGGAAGACCACGATAGATTAGCATTATTTGGTTAAAATGTCGGAAAATAAATCAATTGAATATAATTGTTTAATGAATTTATTCTATAATATTAAAAAAAAATTAAAAAAAATTGTGTATAGGAAATTGGGTGCGATTCCTATATTAATCAAATGCCTGAAACCGGGACAGCAAATTCCGTTAGAGCTGATCGCAGGCGTATGCGGAGTTTTGCGTAATTTGGCCTACGGAAAAAATAATGACGAGAGCAAGGTTATTATCAATTATATATATAAAATCAAGATCTATAGCTCCAGAGTTACATAACGATATTTTTCGGGCTATATAACCATCATTCCTTACTTATATATAAAAATGCGAATTTAAATTCTTTTTAACTTTATTCTTCCAATTCAGAATCAAGGCTATTAAATTAAAATCTTAGGATACGTTTAATTTATACCATAAAATGTGATATTTAGATGAAATTATGTCTTTAAAAAAAAAGAACCATAATTACATTTAATAAATTCATTCTGTATTTTTCGGAATAATATAAAAATGGGTCGTAAATAGTTCCAGACTCTGGGCAATGATTTAAGATTTGTCTCAATTCGGTGAAAAATGTTGGTCAGACAGATTCATATTTTTATCATGACGAATTCATATTTATTCAATAATTTGAAAAATGTATAAACTGATGAATGCAAAATCACTCGTGAGCCGATTTTTAAAAACGGCTAACTCAATTGCCTAAGCCTCGAGATTTCGCTAATAGATATCTAAACCTTTGTGCCATCTATGAACAAAATCTTCACCAGGCTTGCTTAATAATTTTATGGATGAAATACTGAGTTAGCCGTTTTTAAAAATCTGATCAATTGGAACCATTTTGCATCACTAAATATGCCGAACCAAGTAACTACAATTATTTTAAAATCGATTTTACGATTTCCTTCTAAATTAGGACAGCCGATTATTATTAATTCCTAAAGTTTATAAGGCTTATAAAGTATAAATATAAATAATTTATAAAAGATGTATTTGGAGTGGGGGGGGGGGATTAAAAATATAAAGCATTTGAAAAGAAGTTTATAAAGGTAGTAGTATGTTTATTGAGAGGTTGGGGGGGGGGGAGTTAGAGGGGTTCAAGTCTCCCGAAATTTTTAATGGGTTTTCTTTAAAAAAATGAATTTTTTTAAAGAATGGCTAACAAATTTAATAAATGTATATATATATATATATATATCATACCTCATCCCTATGATTTAGAAATTGATCGCTGCCTATGATGGCATACCCCTCTTATCCGAGTTATTTGTCAATTCAGACTCCGATGATTCATTGAAGGAGATTATAACCGGAATACTATGGAATATGTCTTCTTTAGAGGTATATATTTTTTGAAATAATTTTTTTTATTTCTTAGGATCAAATCTATACAATTCACGATTTGCCCTCTTTATAAATATTTTTTACCTTTTTATAACACTGTTTACATTTGTCCAATACTTTGGATTCTACTTTGTACTTTGAATATATTCTCAAAAAAAAAATTTAGAGAGAAATTGGTTCTATTTTTTTTAAAAAAAATCTTTTAAATTGCAAATAAAGAATAGTTGATACATAAATATATGCTTATTCCAGGAAATTAAGGTGCACATTCTCCAACATTGCACGACCATATTTCACAACTTGGTTATAGCGCCTCAACTCTCGGCCATGGCTTGCGTATCCCCTAAGAACAACAAGGCGAATATGTTTCAATGGCCTACCATATTCAGAAATGTAACGGGAATTATAAGGTATTACTTTATTATTTGTTTCTAGATGCAACCATAAACGATCACACTCCTTCCTGGCAAGATTAAGTTATAATCAGAATTTTGAAACAAAATCTGTAAATCTCAATAGGAACAAATTCAACAACTAGAACCTTGAACTAGACTGCCTTTGGCCTGAGCCATTTCTCAGCCATGTAACAATTTTTTTTAGATCTTGGTCCTACCCTCGGCCCGTTTTAAAAAAACGACAAGCTTGTAGGGAAAAAATCCTAAACTCTAAATATTTATTTTAATTTGAAAATTTTAATGGTATTTAATCTATTATTACAAAATATGTTATTAAAATTAATCAGTCTTAAAAAAATCTTTAATCAACCATTTTCTATGATTCAAGCTCTTGCTATAACTCCGAGATTAGTAAACGAAGAGATTTATATTAGAAATATATCGAAATTATATTTTAAAATCTTCAACCTTTTTATAGGAACTGCAGTTCTGCTGACGATCCTTACTGTCGCAAATATCTTATAACACACGGTGGGGAGCATTCTTCACCCCTCAACGAATCATTAACACCCAAAATTCCTTTCAAAAACACCCATAACTCGTCGAAACCCGCTCTCCCTTTGACCAACGACTTGCTGGCTATCTGCCTTTTGGCGTTACGAAATCAAGACTGCGATAATCAGTGCGTCGAAAATTTGATGTGCACCCTTAGAAATCTTTGTTATCAGCTACCCGTATCTCTAGCTTACGATGTTCATGATAACAGTTATAAAAGCGACTCTACTCAAGGTACACAAAAAATCTATAGTATATATCGGTAGGAAGGAATTAAGGGGGGGGGGGGGGGGGTGAATGAAAAATTAAGCTGAATGAAAGACGAAAAAAGGCACGATGAATTAGATAAAATATAGTAATATTTATGGTAGATTTACTTGAGATTCTAATTATGATAAGAATTTGAAGCCGAGAAGAAGTAATTATATTAAATATAGTTTCAAATATAATCTGCTTGGCTAATGGATGATTTATTTTATTATTATTGCAATATAAAAAATGTCATTTTGGATTCTACAAATATGCAAAAAAATTTAAGAGAGATAACACCCCCAAATAGTTAAAATTAATGTATGCCCATTCATTTCACGTAAATTTATCATAATAAACGTAACCTATATATAATATTTAGCAAACAGTGGCGGTGTCAAAAAGAAAATCTCCTTAAAGAAAAACTGCAAAACCCTTAATTACAAGAGTGCCACATGTAATCCTTCTTCTAAAATCTCCAATGGTTTAAATATTCACAACCCTAATAAGAAGGTTATTACGAACAATGTAAATGGAGTGGAAAATCAATTGACCAAGCTCGAAGATACACCGAGTACGTCTTCAGATTATTCGTCTTCTCAAGATTGTAATAACAATAATCAAAATCAGACTAGCCCTGAATCATTGATTAATGATGGTTTGATTTATTTTTTTTAATAGTTTCGTTATTTAAATTTTAATGGTGTACCCATATGAAATTTAAATACAAAAAAAAATATAATATCTTGACAAGTTTTTCTATATAAAATAATATTCCCTATTTATTATAGGCCATCACACATTGGGCTGTTTCAACATTCTTCAATCTTCTCTGACCCCTTACAATTCGAACACTATCAATCCAAATTCCAACAAAAATTTTCACAATTCTTCCAAACTAATCTTCGGCGAAAACGACAAAGACGGTAAAAGCAATAATGTGGTATTCCTCCCTTCCATTCTTTATTCACAAACTCTAGCTATCAAATTGTGTTTGGGTATATTGAGAGAATGCGCTAACCCTTGCACCTTAGAAGGCTCTGCCGGCACCCTTCAAAATTTGGCCGCTTACCTAAATTGGAAAGTTTCATAATATTATATTATACTACCAATGATTCTTTTTAAGTAACCTGCCTACCCCTTAATAAATATTATAATAAACCTATATTTATTTTTATTTATATATCGAGTATTTATGCAGAAGTATCACAAAAATCTTGCCCCCTCCCCTTGAATCCTTCCCCATCATTTGAAATCGTTGTTTCTATAAAATGTAGGTTCTACCTTCCTCATGGAGGTTTCTGTTGGCTTGTGTTTATGTATGATTTCTAATGAGTTAGGTCAATCTTTTTTTTATACAACATAACCTAAAAAAAATAAAATAATTTTAGCCTTCCATTGAAATCCGTACAGCCGTTAGGAAAGAAAAGGGTCTGCCAGTGCTAGTCGAGTTACTCAAACTCGACAACCTTCACAAATCTTCCATTAGTCCCTCCACGGATAAAATCGTGTGTTCCGTACTTATGGCTCTTAGAAATCTAGCCCTAGATAATCGAAATAAGGAACTTATAGGTTTATATTTTTTCAAATTTTCACTATAATAGTATAAATAATCATATTTAAAATCCAATTTTTTTTCTTCCTAAGGTAAATACGCCATGAAAGATTTGATAGAGAAGCTTCCCGACCCTTCAAACTCAGACCACATTAATCAATCAGTCAATCACGTTAAAAATTCTGACAATTGTGACAGAACACTTCGAGTCAACCAAGCCAAATTGAGTGCTATTTTAGCCGTTCTGCACCAGATCGTGAAAGATAATCCGGAATTTTCCCAGTACGCGTTTCTGGAAATTCGCTCATCTTAAGATTTTTTTTATTTATCAACGAGAAATGGTGAGGGCGCTAATAAGACATTGATTTATTCCCTGAGATGCAATTTAATTACCTTTAGAATGCTATTTAACATTTTAATTTCTACTTAAGATCCTTCCTAGAAAACAAAGGCATAGAACGATTGGTGCATCTAACCAACCATTATGACCAAATATGCCCCGGTACCAATTATAACCCTAATTCGATGTCAACTTTAAATGGCAACGGTCCAAATAACCAAACGCTACCAAGACCCGTCAAATACTCGTTTCAAGTAAGACCTTATATATAATCCCTTTTTTTTTAACTTTTCTTCTCCCATCATTAAGTATCCTCAGCTTTAATTCAAAAATTTTATTTTTTAAAAAGATCATTTATTACATATAATGCTGCTAGTTTTGGGGAATAATTTATAGATAAAAATTTAATAATATACTCTATAATTGAATATGATTTTATCTAGACTAAGTAAAAATGAATTCTTATTATTTTTTAAAATCTTTACATTTTATAACAATGTTTTAAGTGTAAAAAATATATTGTTTAACCCAAAATTTTATGCGCTACATAGATATTGCATTCCCTTTGGGGCCACAAGTCGATGCGCGAAGATTATTCTAAAGCCGGGTGGAAGGAAGAAATTTTCAAACCTCATTTGAATCCTAAATACAAGCATCTGTTTACCTCCCATGACATCAAACAACATACACCCAGTACCGGTCTTGAAAAACAAAAATCCATCAAACAGAATGGATTCAGAAACTGTGAGATATTCTATTAAAATTATATAGATATTATACAATTTTTCATCAATCCTATCATAAAATATGTTGCCTTCTCTTTTAATTTTTGAATCATTTTTTTATTTATTTAGCCTAAAATATACGATACATTTTTTTACGAAATGTGAGAGTTATTACCATTTTAATACCAAAAAAAAATATTTAATATAAAAAAAAGTAAACGGCACCCTAGCCACACCCTACTTCGGAGAAAATAACACCTTGAGTAGACCTATCCAATCCCAATGCCCAGATGATAAATCATTTCAGGCCTCGCCGGATCGCGTCAAAGCGAAATTTGCCAAAGGTCCCGAAAATATTCTACCCGGAAGCGACGCCCTTTTGAACCAGGATCATTATTACTATTATCTTAGAAAGGCTGCAGCACATCAAAATAACGGGGTAGAAAAAAAATAAATTTAATTTGTTGTCAGAGGCCTGCAGAGGTCAAAATTTCAGAACCTGGTCAGAAATTTTTTTTAACCTGGATGACAAATTTTAGTTACTATTTCGTATTTTTTTTAATTTAATTTTTCTTGTAAATTTTGTTAAAAAATCGTATTTAATTTTTAAAATCCATTGATTATCTTTAAGGATTTATACTCCTTTTCAATTTTCTCGTAAAATCTTAGAGTTTCCCTTGAGATCTTCTGACAAATTTCACTGCTTATAACCCTATTTTTTAAATATACAGAATGGACACATCTTTAACAGCGACATGGCAAACATGAATAGCAATATATTTTTTAAGGAACCCATCTATTCTCAAGTCAACAAATCTCGAAACAACAATCATTTATTACGTCATCACTTGGAAAATCAATCAGCAGCCGACTCATGGGTCTAAAATTAATGAAATACCTCTTTCCCATTATACACCGTCACTAAATTTTTGGAGTGCTTGAAATCTCCAAACTGGCATTCAGAATATGACTACTAATTGTTGGTATAATAATTATGAGATTGGGTCAGTTTAATCGCTCAAATATACAAAACCAGAATATATATTTTTTAAAACCAATAATTAATTTAAACTCTGTCATTAGGATCCAAAATATAACGATTTTCACTTGGATCAATACCAAAAAAAAATCGTGATTATTTTAATTTATAGTACAAAACCAAATATAATATGTTTTTTTATATATTTTGATATATTACTATAATATTTTTTTTTAAATATAAGAATTATGTAATGGCTTTAATCATTTGATAAGCTTGCAATCTCTGTATTTTTTTTTAGTTGCATTATAATATTATATAATATATAGAAATTGTAATATATACATTCATTTTTTTCAAATTCACATTCGGTATAATAGTTATCTAAGAATATGAATATTATAATTTATTATATATTTTCCTTTTTTTCCCCTAAATTCAATTTTTTTTTAAAAAAATATATAGAATAATTCTCATTCTCCAAAAAAACATTTAATTTACTCAATTAGGAAAATCTGCCAACATTTAAAAAGAATAAAATCTTTCCTTACATATTTTATAACTCGATTAAATTTCACAATTAGTGGTTAATTGTTTATTTAATATATTTATACTATTTTATACTCAAATTATAATTTCTTTCATTTCATAACATCTTGCATGTTTTTGCATAACATTATCGTGTACATATTATAAATTTTAAGACCCTTTTCTTTCAAGTTTTCGATAATTAAAATGCTATATATTTTTTTATAGTATTATTATACATAAATTAATTTTATTTATATTAAACTCTATTGATGATTGGTTATATATAATTTTTTTTATATTCAAATTTTTTTTTATGACTATAATAAAAAATTCAACATTTTTATAAAAAAAAAAAGATCAAGCAGCTTTTTAAAAATTTAACCAAAAGTAATAAAATTTATTTTATTTTGAACTAAAATGACGAGGAATATAAAAATGTCAATAAATGTATTTAATCATTTTATTTTCTCCCTTTAATGTATAGTCTAATCTGGTGCATCATTATTTCTAAAAAGAAATAAATATCTTTAATTCTGAGAGATTAAATAGGAGCCGTTTTATTTTTTTGCATAAAAATAAATATATTTTTATAATACATAAAAAATATATAACTTTAAAAAAAAATTTGCATATTTTATTTCAATATTCATATATTTTAATCTAACTTTTGTTTTTTAAAAAAAAGGCGAGAAACCTTAGACCACAAAAAGTATGAAAATTTTTAACCGCTAACATAAGAAAAAATTGTATAAATTTTGATATATTTTAGAGGACAGATTTTCGGGTTGGTCAAATTGTATAAAATATTTTTACGGACATTGTTTGGCCGTTTTGAAAATGTTTCTAGCCCTTCAGTTGGTGCAAATTCGCGGTGAAGTACGCTAAAAAATTAGTGTATACATGACAGGATATTCACTGGTCCAACCCCCCCCCCCCCTTCAAAAGCCTCTTACCTACCTCCTAAAAAGATTTAACCGCCTTTGGCGGCGATATTCCTATTTTATTAAGTACACGTTTTTAATTTTAATGGTATACATTTTAAAATGAATAACTTAAATCATCAAAACTTTACCAACTATAAAAAAATTGTGAATATAAGTTATTTTTTAGAACATGAAATAAATTAAAAACACCTTCATTTACATTGAATGCATTATTTGTATTGTTTGGCATGAACATGAATTTTCTGTAGAATGTTTTTAACCCTTTTAAATTACATTTAAAAAGATATTTAGATATTATTCAGAAATATTTATTTCAAAAATAATGACTATGATTGTATGCAACATATATATATGTCGTATGGGGATTCGGAATCTCTTGGTTTTAAATCCTTTACCCAGGGAGATTTAAAAAATTTAAAATCCGATTTAACCGGAAATGTAATTCTAATGTGTAAAGTATTTACCCTATAAATTTCAGCCAATTTTGACATCCACTTAAGAACTTATTCTAATTTATATTCATTTTTATACAGATTTTTCATTTAAATTAAAAAATACTAAAATGTTTTTGTTTTCTAAATCGCTCTCGGTAAAGGATTTAAAATCAAGAGATTCCGAATCCCCATATGACAATATATATTTGGTAAATATTTAGCAATATCTAATAAAGGTATTAAATATTTTTTATATCAATATATTTTGCACTATTTTATCTAAAAATTTGATAGACACCCCCCTCCCCTAATAAATTATAAAATAAAGATTTAAAATTTTTTATTTTTGATAGTTTAAATAAATTGATTAAAATGTCGGATTTTCATAATTTTAATAGTTAAAACATTTAAAAAAATTTAAGATTTTAATTTATTTAAGAACAATCAATTTATTTATTTTTTTTACGTTATAGCAAAGATTTTAAAAAAATTTTAAAAACAAATTAATAAAATATATCTATGAAAGATTAGCATTCCCTCAACCAGATAGGACTTCTTTTTTTTAAATAGTTTATTCGACAAAAACAAAAAGTTTTCCTGCCTGAAGAATGTATATTTAATTATAGATTTAATAATTATTTTCCCAAAAAGGAGCCACAATTCTATCTAATGATTTGAATTTTATTTTCGTCTAATGTATAAAAATTCTTTAGATTCTCGCTGGTAAAAATGTAATTTTTCCTTCTATATTTTTTTAAAAAACTTGAATATCATTGGCGAAAAGAGCCGTTAGTGTATCTAGGAAATAAAAGAAATTTGGGATCTTTATATTTTTTAATCCTTTTGGGTTTCGCTTGGGTTAACAGATTGAAGTTAATATTCGAAGGCATTGAAGAGACGCAAATGCTTGCACTCATTTTATTAAGATTAAAGTTAATTTTTTATAAGAAATTAAATTTGCTATTCCAGCTCCTAATTTTGCAATTTTAAATAATAACTATTAGTCAATAGATTGAAAACATATTGGGTCCACAAGAAGTTTTAAGCCTAGCCAAAATTTTCGTATAACATAGGTTTGGTGTTGATTCCCGATTTGGTGGGCCTTCCGGTCCCGGGTTAGGGCATAACTTATTTCTCATTGAAATATTTTTTATTAACTAATCAAATTTGTGAAAAACATTGGCTACGTTATGACAGTCTCATTATCTTAATATTTAATTCATAATAATTGAGCATTACATATAAAAAATTTTACTCTAAAAATTAGTGCACTGCGTATATCACAATCCAATATTTCTGGGTTCGAATCCATCAAGGACCACGTTTTTTCTAAAGCCTGGCTCCTTACTTGGGGAGATGATTTCAGTTGATATATTTATTTTTAAAAAATAACACAATCCAATATTTCTGGGTTCGAATCCATCAAGGACCACGTTTTTTCTAAAGCCTGGCTCCTTACTTGGGGAGATGATTTCAGTTGATATATTTATTTTTAAAAAAATAGCCCTTATTGTATTTTAAGAAATTTTGGTCGTTGTTAAGCAAATGGATATATGCCAATCACCATCATTACCTTATTATACCTTTGCTACTTTTATAATTTAATAAGGGGTATCAAAAAATGAATAGTTAAATAGATGTTTGGCATTTTTGAAAAATTTGACACTCATAGATATGGATTGGTTTATGGCGAAACTTAAAACGATTATAATTTTTTTCTAGAATTAAATTCCTTAATATTTATTACTAGTTTGATAATGGCTAAAAATCGGCTAGATCAAAAAGCGCGTACCGAAAAAAATTTACTAAGCACTGAGGTTCGAAATAATCGATTTCTAATTTCTTCGAAGTTGAGCTAAATCTAAAAAAAAATCCGAGGCTGAGGTGATCAATTTAGGCTAATAATCGAGTTACCCAACTCAACTATACCTCATCCCAAGAACCAGGATTTAGCGGTTGCTTAGTAAGGTAAAACTTATAGTAAGTGCTGGACATTCTTGATTTGCGTAAAATATCAACTTCCGTTCAAGAAAGAAGGAAAGAAAAATCCCGAAAGTCTTTATTCACATTATTAATTTTTAAAAATATTTTCAGCTGTTTCACGCGCCTTTTTAAATGGATAAAATTTGTGGTAGGAAAAATTCGATGTTTTTAAGGAAGAATATTTTTTCTTCTAACAATTTAAAGGCTTTATGAAAACAAATTTCATCGAATAATATTTTTGTTTTAAAAATAAATCACTATGAAGGAAACATGTCGAAATAATAAAAAAATTTACAATTTATTATCTTGAGTAATATTAGAAATAACAGTTGTAATTAAATATAAAAAAATTTTGATCCTAGAGATACCCAATATCTAAATGTTAGACATTATTTAATTTTTTTTTATTAATACCAATCAAAAAAAAACATACTTCTTTTGAAACAAATTTTTTATTCAATATTATACAATCTTAAAAATGTTCATTTTTTTAAATTCCCATAATCTTCTAAAATCTTTTGCCACCTCGCCCTCCTCTGAAAGATTGAAAACCACGTCCTCCTCTACCTCCTCCGCTGCCGCCCCTAAAGGAACCACCTCCTCTGCTGAAGCCTCCTGTGTTGATTATAAATATAAAGTAAAAATATTATATATAAAGGTATATGGACATGAAAGAATAATTATATTATATAGTGCCTCAATTATAAAAAAAAATCATTTTATATCCTGATGACCCCAGGTAGTGTTATAAATGGTCAGGTTTAGTTGATATTAAATTAATATTATATCCAAAGATAATATTAAACAAGCCTCGAGATTTTCGTTAATAGATGTCTCTAAACCTCTGCTATCTATGAGTAAAATCTTCAGACTTGCGTAGTACTTTTTGGCTAAAATATTGGAGTCAATCAAGGCTGTTTAACAACGTCACCCATAGGGATATTTAATTTTAGGAACATTATTCGGAACTAAAACCCTTTTAAACCCAAGAAACTCTGAAAGTTTTTTTTTAGTATATGTGCATATGGATGTTATTTATTTCAGGATATTGCAATAATGGCCTAATTATAAAAATTTCTAAAAAAAGTATGTTTTGGCTGTTAATAACATTTTAAGAACCTCCAATTCTTTATTAACAATTTAAAAACGGTCAAATTTTAAATAAAATAAACAGCAATTTATTTTAAAATAAACTGTCAAAACCCTGAATTCATAGTTATTGCGACTTTGCAGCAAAGTATTATAAAAATATTCAAAAATACAGCATATTTTGTATACCTTGCTGCGATATTCGTGCCAACTGTGAATGCAGCAATACCTAAGTTTGGTCAAATTATGAAAATACACTATTGATAATGATGATGCAAATAATTGTTTTACTATTTTTATAGTGCTACATCATTCTATTAGTTTTAAACAGTCAAACCTGTATAATTTGAGTTCTTAGTGATTTGGACAACTTCTTAATTTGACCAAAATTTTAAGTTCCAGTCAAATTCCTATTAAATACTATTAGAAAATGTTGCTACAATAGAAAACTGTCTATTTCAAAAAGTGGGCAGATTTGTATTTTGTCTTTGCATAAGACCCCTAGCAAAAAATTTGTTGTTTTTTGCTGCATTCATTTATTTATATTAATAAATTTAATCATCTTAAAAACTATATGTTAAATAATAAAATTAATAAAGAAAACAAATATAATAAGTTGTCAATCATTGGTTATTAAATTTCTAATCATCATACTCAAAAAGAATGTGCTAAAAAGATTTGATATCTAATAGAACTGTTCACAATATTATTAAATCCAAAGAAAACATTAACAAATGCCATGCAAATTAAACATATTATACCAAATAAACAAACAAATATAACATCTTATTTATTTCATAAATTCATGTTATATTTTTATTGTCATTTTGTATAAAACCATTTTATTTTATAATTTTATATATTCTAATATATATGCTTAATTTTACTCATGAATTGGATAAATTAATAAAAAAATTATTTGATCCCAATACCCAAATTAGACCAGTTTGATTGTTAAAAGGGTCAAATTTTTTATAAATATAAGTAAGAGATTGGTGTTAGAGTAGAAAAGTATCATTAATGGTTTGAAAAATAAAAATGTGCCAACTCAGCCTTTTGTATGACACAATATCAAATTCTATCATAATTTACCAATAGGGGAGATGTGGCATAAATGGTCAAGTTAAGACTGGTCACCACCCTTTAACTTTTAACTATTTGACCAATTTCTCTCGAAATTAGTCAAAATGTGTATATTTATATGTACCTTATATAATTTGATTTATTGATTAGAGTAATTCAATAAAAGAATATCTTAACTGTTTTTAGTACCTCTGAATTTTTTTTAATTTGAACTCTAAGTAAAGTATTAAACTCTAAATAGGGGTCGATTCTATATAATATTATATTTTCATCAATTAGTGTTAGATGCTAGAGGCCTCTACAACCTTGCCCAAAGCTCATCTCAAATCGGCCAAGAAAAAATATTTATAGACTGAACAAATGCTCTATTATTATGTGCCAGGACAAAGTTTTGAAAATTTATTTAAAGTTGATAAATGATTTACTTCAGAAAAAATTATTATAGACCAGGCCAGACAAATTGTCAGTTAATGCTGGGTTTGTGACTAAATACACTAAATAAAATTATCTTTATTTACACTATTATAGGAGGGGAGGGGGGAAAGCATATATGAGTTGGCCAATATTTTAGACAATTCTTTTAATTCAAATCTTTCACTAATCTTGCCCAAATGTCTATATTTAATAGTTTCCTTACTCTATGGCAATTTTATAATCATTATTAAAATTACATTTTTTTTATCATCAAAAGTTTTTTATTTAATTTTTTGTGAGCACGTTATAACAAAAAAACTAACGAATTGGAAAATTTTTTTGGTTAGGATTATATAAGTATTTTTAAGATATAAAGTTTTACAAAACTTTATGAGATATTTTGTATACAACAAGATTTACTCCCTGTATTCATTTTTCTTTACATTATGTCAATCAAAAAAATATGAAATAAATATTTTTCTATCTAATAAGATGTTAGTTACCAGGCCAAAAATATAAATTATTAAATAATTTAAATTATATCCATATTTATTTACCTCTTCCTCTCCCTCTAGACTGAGCTTTGAATTCTGATTTTGGCATAGTAGGTTTTGGCAAAAATCTTTCAAGAGGAAGTAGTTTGTTAGGATCAATATAGAACTAAATAAGATTATACAAATATATAAGCAGAAAAAAATTACTATTTGTTGGGTATCAAAGGATTTAGCCTTTATTTCTTCCAAGGGTTTTACAGAAAAAAACTATGAAATGTATACAATTAAAAAATACTATATAATATTAGGTTACAAAATCTTGTATTGGTCCAAATATTTCATCAACTTTGCCTATCATAGTTTTATTTTCTAAAAATATAGGTGCATTGAAATATGGGATTCGCTTGATTGTTGATTTACAGATAATGTATTCTTCACATGGATATTCATAATGGCAACATTCTAAAAGTGGTTGATATGATATTACATTTTAAAATATAATTTAGTTTTTTAGCTATTTTATAAAATAAAACATTTTCAACATCCATTTTCATAATTTTAGCTAATATTATTAATAAAATATTTTACCAACAACTCTATCAGGAATTTCATTGTAATTTGAGTTTTCTCTGTTACCACCACCACCCCCTCTTCCTCTTCCAAATCCTCCTCTGCCTCTTCCAAATCCACCACCACCTCTGCCTCTACTGAAATTTCCCCTCATAATTTTGAAAAAATATATTTTGACAGCATGTTTTTGAATAGATGATATTTAATTTAGTATAAATGTTTCGGGCTAATGCTAAATCCTAGCCTGAAAATAACAGAATAATTTGCATCAAGACTAGACGGGCATAATATCCTAACCAAAGTATTTCGTTATGTCTCTAAAAATATTTTTTTTAAAAAACGGAAGAAATTACTGTTATACAGCACTATTATTATATTGTTTTGCATGAATATCAGTTTGATGAATTTTAAATTCCTATTTAAACATTAAAACAACTATATAAAAATATATAAAATTACTAAATAAAAATATATATTAATAGTATCGAAGGCTGTAAAAAAAGCTTAATTTAATAATAAAAATGTACCTAAAAAGCATGTATAATTATGTTTAAAAATTTCCAATCGAAGTTTTTGTTTAAGAAAAGGGATTCGTGATTTTCGTTTGTTATACTAAAAAATTTTCGTGATAAAGTTTTTAAAAAAATATATGTAGACTGTGAAAAATTGTCGTTAGTTGATATGACTATTGGCTGAAATATAAAGTTATTTAATTTTGAATATTTATTAATTTTTTTTATTTTCCCCACTAGTAAGAGGGTTTGTATTATTTGTTGAAGGAATGGATGATAGGCTGGTTGCATCCCAAATAAGTGATTTTCCATTGGACCAGGGGTTGCAGGTTAAGCCGTCCGGTCTGAAGCCGTCTTGTAATGAGAGGTTGGTAGGTTCAAGGATGTTGGGTATTTTAGCCTTATTAAAAGCGTTATGTATGATTTTATTAATTGCTTTATGCCGGAGATGGCGTCCTTGGCTGCGGGTGCAGTTTAGAGCGTGTCTGGCGTTAGGTTGAACGGGTAGACTGAATTGGTGGCAAGAATGTGAATGTGCAAGCGAGCATCCAAGTCTAAAGCCTATAGTAACTCTCAGTTGGTCATTGGTTAAGAGATTATCCTAAGCTAAGGTTTGGCTTAGAAGTGCTTCGAGCCATTCATGCCCGCCGTATTTATCGTTGTTTTGTAATAGTTGTATATTGCTGATTTCGGTAGGGTTATGACTGAAAATCGCGAAGTCCATTTTTTTTAAACAAAAACTTCAATTGAAAATTTTTAAACATAATTATATTTGCTTTTTAGGTACATTTTCATTATTAAAATTAGCTCTTTTTAGAGCCTTCGATACTATTAATATATATTATTATTTAGTAATTTATATATATTTTACATAATTTTATATGGTTGTTTTAATATTTTAGTGTTTTATCATTTTTTAAAAAAATTATACCAATATCAATATTATTTAAACATTTGTAAAAATTGAACTATTTCTTACCTGTAGTGTTGTTAAATGGGCGAAATCCTAGCAGTCAAAATTGCTCAGTCTTGTAGCAAATGTATATTTTTCCCAAAATGAGTTATCCTTAAAGTCCAAACCTCTATAGAGGCTAAGATGATATTTTTCGCTAGATTTATATAAAAATGGTCTATAAATTTATTCACTTTATTTATATAATTTTAGGGGATGATTTATATATTTTACTATAATTAATTATAATATTCATGTATTCACGAATAAAAATAATTTTTAACATAAATATAGAATCTTATTCAAAAATCCTGATACAACCTTTAATATCAAAAAAAAATGGAAAAATATTTTTAACAAATTCGTTCTTAGATTTTGCATTTTATGAGATTATTTCAAATTGGAAACAAGTAATTGAAAAATAAGCAAAACTTTTACTCAAAAATTAGCGCGTAAATTAATTTTGTTAGCGTCACTGTGTTTTTTTCCGGCAATATCTTATTCTTTAAACCTTAAATCATTTTTTAAGAGCGTTTTTAAAAATTTAAAAACCGGATTTTACCTAAAATATATTCTATCATGTTTAGAATATCTATCTTATGAATTGTACATTGTTGTTAACCTTTGAGTCATTTATTATTTATATAAAAAATCTAAAAATTTATATAAATTATATTAAGTTTAAAAATTCGTGAAAAAATTATCTGAAATTTATAGTATAGGAATAACAAACATGATGGCATCAATGATATATATAACATAGATTGGCGATTCATTCATTAAATGCATGATAAAAATGTCCTCACATTGCAATCAGCTGTAGCGCCAAAAATTTATGGGGCTCCCCCCATACCCCTAATTTGCGGGCCTTTGGATATCCATTATATGTCAGCATGAAATATTAATACATATATAATATTCAAAACTAGTCTAGAAGATAATTTATTTTGAAAAGTTTCCATTTATGATATATTATTTTTCTTATATTCTTAAATATTATGGTAAGATTATAATTTGTTTTAATTATTTCTTAGTCTAGTGAATTTTTATGAACGTAGATTAGCTGATTATACCTAAAAAAAAATGATTCTAAGACTAACCCTCCTTTTAATTTTTTAAAATATAGTTTAACCCTTCACTACAAAGGTGGAAAAAACTCCCTTAACTACAAAGGTGGGGTCTATTTTACCCCAAATTTTGATTAGCTATATCTCAAACATATTAAAAATTGAGATCATGATGTTATTGAATGGAATGGGAGGTTGGTAATTCCAACCATTTTGAGGAAATCAATTTTAACGATTATACACAGAGGGCATCCAGGAATAAATGCTATGAAATCAATTTTTAGAATGTATTGCTGGTGGCCGAATTGCGATAAAGATATTGAACAATATGTTCGTCAATGTATGCCTTGTCAAAGTAATCGGTCGAATATTATGGAGGTTCCTTTATATTCGTGGAACATATCTAATATACCATGGGAACGAATTCATTTGGATTTCGCAGGGCCTATTGATTCGTATTCATGGTTAGTTGGAGTTGATGCACATACTAAATGGGCTGAGGTTGAGTTAATGAGAGAGACCACGTCCACGACAATGATCAGGGTTTTAAGGAAATGGTTCGCACGGTTTGGAACACCTAGACAAATCGTATCAGATAATGGACCTCAATTTAATTCTGGAGAATTTCGAAAATTTTGTTTCGAGAAAAATATTAAATTGATACATACAACACCGTACCATCCAAAAACGAACGGTTTAGCGGAAAGAACGATACGAACCCTCAAGAGTCGATATTTTGCAACTAGGAAAGACATCAGGGAGCCCGAGGAAGCCATGGGAGAAGTTTTGCTAGCATATAGAATGGGTGAGCATCAATCAACTGGACGTTCACCGGCTAAGTTATTATTGGGGCGAAATTTAAAAACGGGATTGAATTGGTTACGTCCTAATGTTAGTTATGAAATGGAACGATCGAATATAAGACAAAAAGTAGCGCATGATGAACATAGTCATATGAGAGAATTTGAGATTGCACAACCGGTATGGGTGCATAATGAAATAAATTCAGGTTGGAGAGAAGGAATTATAAAATCCAGAACTGGCAGATATTCTTATTTGGTAGAAAGCAAGGATAGAATGGTACGAAAGCATGCGGATCAACTTCGAAAAAGGGAGGTAGCTAAAGAAATGGAGAAGTCTGGGCCAGGGAAAGATAATGGAGAAAATATGGAGTCAGAGAGAGAAGAGGAAAATATAAAAAATAAAGAGTCGGATATAGTTGAGATTTTAGAAAATGTGGAAGATAACGGAAAACTAGAAACGCGGAAATCACAAAGAGCCAGGAAACCTACAAATCGGCTTATTGAGGAATTGTAAGATCATATGTGTGGGGATATGTTATAAATGAGATTTATATTATATATTATCAATGTTATAAATGTCATATATATATATTATCAATGATATAAATGTCATAGATACAAATCAATCATATTAATATATTTCATGAAGTGATTGCCAGTAAAATAAACTTAATTAGTATATTGTATAAATAAATTTCTTATATTTGTTTGGATGTTGGAAATATATTTAGAAAGAGAGATGGTAATTAAATTTATAAATGAATAATATAGTTGAATAATTAGTGATTTTGAACTCGGCTAATTACAATATTAAATTTATTAATTTTTAATTAATAAATGATTATATTTATTTAATTAGGGTTGTAAAATAATAAAACTCATTTGATCTGCAACTGTTAAAACTAAATTATTTTTTAGACATTATGAGTGATATTGATATTCCATTTTAACAGAATTTGAGTTTAAGCTAATATGATTTATATGTATTAATCTCTTATCTAATAATTAAATTAGCACCCATTTAATAAAAATTTAGATAGTCTTATTAATTTTAAATTAATAAAATTCTATGCATAATATCTAGTATAATTATAAAAGAAATAGTTCAGGGGCCTATCATTAAAGTTAATTTTACTTCCAGGGGATATTAGGGAGCCATTAAATTATTTTTTGCTTCAGTGGTATATTAAAATTTTCAGAGGTCTCGAGCCCCTGAGTTTTATTCCATCCCCTCCCCCTGAGTGAAGCTGCTGCTATATTTTTAAACTGGCTAAAGTAAACGATATTTATTTTTTAATTTATTCAATATATTTAATAATAATTATAATTAATAGTGTTTATAAAATGGAAATTGTTATTAAATTTCTTCAGGAATCAAATTTTCAAGATTTAAATTAGAAATTTTTAACAGCATTACTTTTAAAGGTTTCTTTTTTATATCTTAAGATTATATTTTATAATTTTGTTTTTGAGTTTTAAATATCCGATTTATAAACTTATAAATTAATTAATAATTAAAAGTCTAAGCTTGAATTTAAATCCAGATTTTTTAAAATACCTAGTATTGTAGATTCATATTATATTTACATTTAGCATATTCTACTTTATATTTTTATGGTCTTTCGTTATAATTTAATATTACAATTTATATATTGTTTTGTAGCTATAGATCAAATATCTAAATTATCGTTAAATGTAAAAGTTTATCTTGTTGAAATAATATTTTAATGTTTTTTTTAAATCCAATTAACTTTTAGTGTTGTTAAACGGCTCGATTTGAGCCTATTTTTAAAAACGGTTAAATTAATATTAAAGACAGAAAATTATTGTCTAAGCTTCGAGATTTCGTCAATAGAT